TTAGTGAAAGAAAACCAGTTACAGATAGCACGCCAAGGAAGTAATCAAGGACGAAAGAAGAAAAGTATTCATAAAGAACAAGAGATTCAAAACTAAATAAACTCACGAAACATACCAAAGTATCTTAGACACGTTGAAAGCATCTGTTGCGAGCATAATCGAAAAAAGAGCGAGCTAGTGACGCAGTTGGTAGATAACTGTACTTATCAACATAATAGCCCTGGCTCTAGCCCCAAATACCGCAACCCTAGGGATACACCTAGCTCGCTGATGATGACAACAGGACGAAGATGAGTGTTTCAATCTCCTTTTTACTTATTGTAACTTCAGTGTCACTTTCAGTCACTTTATTAATGGAAAAAGGCTTTCGTCCTTGAGTTCCCTATTCATATCCAAAAATCACAAAAGCGTACAACCTTATCAGTAGTACATAATACAAATGTAGGCTTAACATCAGCGATAAGTGTGAGACAGTTGCAAGGTGCTGCTATGAAACCTTGCTCATTATATCTGTCACAGTTTCTCGGCAAATGAGAATCAAGTTTGCGTTTTAAAATTTCAACAGGACCTGAAAGGTTCACCTCGTCAGGGAGTCCGTTTCACGCTTCGATGACCCTCTGTGAGAAGGCGTTCTGTCGAACGTCCATAAGGACCGCTTTCCTCCGCAGTTTAAAGGGATGACCCCGCAGATGATCCGTCCAAGCCAAATCGAAGAATTCATCAAATTCAAGGGCGCACTCACGGCCTCTGACAATTTGGCAGGTTTGGATGAGGTCACCACAGAGTCGCCTATAATTGAGAGGAAATAGATCAAATTCGGTCAATCTGTCTTCATAAGGCAGATGACCAAGATCCTTGACCATCTTCTTAGATTTCGCCTACAATCGTTCCAGGTACAGATAATTCTTCTTGAACCATGGACGCCAGACTCGGACGGCATACTCCAAGTGGAACCGAAAAACGCTTCGTCCGTTTTTCTGAAGAGTTCCTTGTCGGTTCCTTGTGAACGAGATCCCATCTGATCGCAAACGGCACCTGTGTCGCGCGCTTAGCTGCCTTTAAGCGAGGGGTTTATTAGAACACCCAGGTCCTTTTTTCGTCCACATTTGAAAGGGGTTGCCCATCGAGGAGGTATGGGAGGGAATCATCCTCTTCATTGGTCATTCTAGTACGGAGTCTTAAGATCATCCACTTACTAACATTTAAATGTAAGAGCGAACGAGCAGACCAGCTGCTAATTCGATTGAGGCTCTCTTGAAGTGCTTTCCTATCGGCGTCAGACTTGATGGTTCTACTGAGTATGACATCGTCTGCAAACATGATGGCGCTGCAACCCAGGTCGTTGACACAGTCGTTGATATAGATAATGAAGAGCAGTAACCCTAGAACAGAGCATTTGGGGCGCCACTCAGAACAGATGTTGGGGTTGAATTCCAGTCACCGATACACACAGTTTGCGATCGCCCTGTGAGAAAATCTGTGATCCACAGGTTTCCTCGTATTGCCAATTCCCGATTACTAATATATTAAATGTTCATGTGGGACGCTGCAGAACGCCTTTTTGCAGTCCTTTTAGATGACGTCAACCTTACCATCTTCATCCAGTGCGCCAGTCCACTGCTCAG